TAGGGAGGGGGGGGGGGAGAAGGGCTAAGCGAAAAGTGCAGGCCAAGCCACGTGAAAGTAAATAGAACCGTAGAACCGAAGAGCTTCGTTAGAGGCCCATTGCCTAGAATGGAAACTTACTGATGAAAAGAAAAACAACTGCATTAGATCGTCTCATCTACCGGCCAGATCAAAGGACTGTCGTAACAATAATTCATTGATCGCTGACCGATTGCAGAAATTTGATGAATAATAATTACACACGTGCATTTCGTTTGACCATGAATATGATATCTAGAGAACAATTTGTTTGTTACTTCCGAATGCTTCCATAAAGGTTCTGATACTTAGAAAAAGAAAGAAGACACCATTCTTTAGAAATTAGGAGCATATATTCTATCGAAGTTAAGGCATTTAAGTTCAAGCAAAGAAAAATGAACCATTTTGGGAACAAGATTTAAGGCAAGCAGTGAAGTAAAACTCATTAGCCAGAGGGTAATGGCATTGTAAATTCAATCAACTCCCAGCGAAACGAAATTATTCAGAGGAAAATGATCTGAAAGGCCGTACAAGGCCCTCAATATTCCCACTCCAAAATGGCCTACGATTTACCAGGAAGCAATTAATGCTAGCGGTGTTAAAATGAATAAGAATTTTCAATATGCACAAAACGAGCAATTTTTTTAATAAAAAAGAAACTGCACGAGAAAAGAATTTACTCAAAATTTTAAAGGACAGAATTTCGGAGGCAAAATCTCCCCAAATGTATTGATAAGTAAACTTTTATATTGATGATCATTCCATTATGTGTAAAGGAATTTGAATAAAGTTTCATTGTAAAAGGACAAACAAACTCCATTTAATGTAAAAACGAAGTAAAAAAGGTAAATTCAAAGATGAATCAGATTGAACATAAAATTTTCGCAAAGTTCTAATTTGACGGAATACGCCTTAATTATTATGGCATGTGTCTATTTTAATGATAGAGAGAAATCTCTCAAAGATACTGCCAAGGTTACATAAAAATGTCAGTAAAGAGCGGTTAATTATGAGGTACTAATGCCTTCACGAGTTCTGGTAGCAACCCCTTTGGCAGTTAATCTTGATGTGGAAAAAACCCACCGATTTAACTCAGGTGACATTTTGGAATGTAAAACTTAAGAAACTATTAAAATCCTCAACAACAACAACAAAAACAACAACAACAGAAACAGAGAATTTATGAAAATTTGGTAATTACAATGAACTTAGGAGATAGTGTACAGCTAAATGCTCCCAAAAGTCCGACAATGTAAAGCTCCTAATATCACTGATCAGCATTCGATTTATTTCCAACTGAGCTAGAAATTGTCTCTTAACATAACAAATAAACTAGGAAAGTTGTTATCGCGCGCTTATCGTTAGTATTGGCAATGCAATTCAGAAAAAAAGTTTGTGAAACAAAAAAACATGAAACGATTGCCTCGAGAAGTGACAAAACTCCTCCGAAAGAGAATGAACAAACGGAGAAAAAATGGCAGATAGCTTATTTAATTAAGATTTTGAAGGTGTTTAGGTAGGACAAAGAGATAATCAGTTGCATAATTAGTCAAATGAATATGTAATTAACAGAAGCATGTGACTTTTGCATTATTCTACGTAGGTCATACCCCAATTAAATACCTACGGAAACCAATGAATTATTGATAAGTGATTAGTAAGAATGGAAAATCAATGTGGTTACTTATTTTTCCCCTAATCATTGTATTAAGAGATTAATAACCTCAGCTTTCAAGAACATAGCCTTTGGTACTTCGGTCCGAATTTTGTGAGCTCCCTATTTAGTCAGACGCTACAATTATAACTGTCACAAACTGACGAATCGGTAAAGCAACTGGACTAATTGCTTTATTACTACTACATTCATAGAATAAGCACATTGCACAAGATTTTGTGAAGCCGAAAAAGCTAATATGAATAATACAGAAACAAAGAAAGAAATCACAAGCTCACAAAGTGCATATAATGAATTCATTCCTAATTTTAGCAAACTTCGCCGTCTAGAATTCTAGAATCAGATATCCCAGGGCAAAATAAAGTCATTTCTCTTAGCATTTCAAAAGTTAAGTACAGGAGTAATTATGAAGTTAGTGTAAAATGAGTAATATGGATTAATCCTTCGTGACAACAGCTCTAGCAACCGAAATTGAAATAAGTAAGCACTGGTGAATGGATTACTACAATCCCGAACTCACGAATTGAAGGTAACTGATCTTTCCATCGGCAAAGTCCTTAACTGACCGAATAGATGAAGCAGTAAGTCCAAAGGCAAGACCTCCCATACTACTATGGCCGTCATCAATTGACGCATGGACAATCTGATCTGAGGCCACCTCTTGAGCTTTTGCTTCTGCGTGAGTCAAAGGAGCAGGGGCTTTCTTACACGCGAGATGCACTTCATATCCAGCTAAGGAAATATCGTGCTAGAGAACAAAAGTTAGTCAAGCTATAGATAGAAAGGGAAGATAGATTATTAAAAACAAACCTGCTTACCTTATCATGACAGAGAATATCATCTGCTAGATAACCCTCACCAAAGAGTCGTCGGAATGTATTTCGAGTTGAAGCATAAAGAGTCTTCTGTTTCACATGAGCTTCATTGGGAATCCAAGTTAAGAGAAGCCATTCATAACCAAGATTGTTTTTTGAATCAAGACGGTAAAGAATGTAGGAAGCATTGGTGGGATCGAGAAGGGGTTGGATTGATTTATCAAAATCACTTTTCCAATCGCCGTTGATGGGAATGACCTTACGAAGCTGTATTTGTTCATCTCCGATTTGCATGTGAATCAATCGAATTGAACCTTGCTTAGCTTCCGCCAACTTTGCTCGTAATTCTTCGTTAGCTGAGAAAAATATTAGGGTGGTCAAAAGGTGACTTACCTACGATTCCACTTTGAGCTGCCATTTATAGGATTCTACAAGAAACAAAGGATTTTACAATGAAGAAATAATCTAATAAAATATAAGCAGAAAATTATATTTCGTTAAGGGTTTCTGATATAAAAGAAAAAAGAAATGTTAAGCAAGAAACATGCGAAGAATTATACATGACATATAGGAAGAAAGTAACCAGCGGGGCTATGAGAACTAAGAAAATATAGCCCGTTTTATAGCAGAAGAACGAGTGCATGTTTCGTGTAAGGAAATATAATCTGTCATAATAAATGCAACTTTTATAATTTCAGTCAACTAAATTAAAAAGCTTCATTATTTAAGATCCAATTTATCAGTTAAAATAGTTGAAAATGACAACATTTCGTATTGACCAATGAAGTAATGAATGCTTACATTTCACCATTATTATCCCGTTACCAAATTTGAATGTGCTTCAAATTTCTTACCTTCTGATGAGGTTTTAGGAAGACTTGACCAAATCCTAGAACTAGCAATGATCAAGTTATTTTCAATGACCACAGAATCTTGTGACCGTTAAATCAAATGCTTCCAATACCTTCAGACTATTGAGTTAGTAAACTATTATCGGACACAAATTTAAAATTATAAGAAATTGTGCATGAAGATTAAAGGGACCTTTAAATTTCTTCATAATGTAAATAAATACTGAATGAGTTAAATATTTTAATTCAATTACAAATTAAAATACTAGTGTAAAAAACTCACTAAAATTTTGTACGGCCTTTAGACTTGTTTAATCTGTCGATTATATTTTATGAAATGTGATTATCAAATCGCCGCCAATTAAAACGCCTAACAAACCCTGAATACTTTCTAAATCTACTTGTGAAATCTTTTTCCAGTTATAATTTAAGAAACAACCAATTTTATTACCATACGCTGAAAAAATATTTTTTGATATAAATGAAGGAACTCGAAAAGTGGGGACATCTTTTCGATTTAACATTCAGAGACAAAATATTCTATCTAGACCATCGACATTCCTTTGTTGCTATTCCGAAGAGTTTTGCTAATTGCATCAATATAGTTCAAAGCTGTGTGTTTATGGACCTAAGTGGAAGTAAAATAGGTGATGAAGGAGCCTGTCAAATTAGTAATGTAACCTTCGAATTTAATTCACTCAATTGCTGTGTTCAAACAACAGCTTAATTTGTTCTATTATATTTTTTATCCAGTTACTTCGATTAAACAGGTCGATCCAAGCACTCAGTTTACGAGGCTGCTTGATTTCGGACATTGGTGTTGAGGCCTTGTGTGAGGTGAATATTTCATATAAATTACATCTTTGATAACTTATGAAATACAGGTCATTACTGCATTTACATTAACTAAACATGAATTAGCCAAACGGAGACAACTTACAATGAAAATTGTTTGTTATGCTTGTCAACTTATCATTAAATAGATTTTAGAAGAAAAATTGATCGAAGATGCTATATCTTTTCGCCTAACCCAGGAAAATGAAATTTTAACCAATAAACGGATCGTATGGTTTATTGTCTTACCTTTGACCTTTAATAATGTTGTTTTAAAAACATTTTTCTCAGGCTTTGAACAATAAGAATAAATGCCCTGAGAAAAATCCTCATCGACGTTCGAAAAGTGTTTTAAACTACTTTAACCCTTTTTCATTCTATTAAATTAACCAGAATTTAAAGCTTCATGATACATATTTTAAAGCTTCCTCAAGAATTAAATGTCGTGGAATAGATAACAAGAAGGCGACAAGAGAAGATCATTTACCTGAAATTGAAAATAGGAAGCTGAAGGTTCATCAATTTATCCCTTATTCGATAATAATCAAATATGTTTTTTTTATTTTCTGAAACCTCATAGGAAAAGCAATTAGAACTTAGGCATCCACTTCTTGCAGAAGTGAAGGGTGAGAGCGTATTTGGTTTACAAGTCCGAGGCAACTACATGCTGTCAATGATTAATTTATCCCGTAAGATATACTTGTAAATTTGCATAATAATGTAGATTTGATAAAATAGCGAAAATTCCCTGTTCTGCTCTGGTGTTCTTTATGTTGTGGTCCTCTATTAATAGCCCTACTTAAACGCAAATTTTTAAGTTTTCTCACTTTCACAAATTTTGATCTAATCTCCTGCTTCGAACTTATTCCTTATACAAATTCATTTTAAATCTCACTTTTTTAATTTTCCAATTAAGGGAGAGTATAGACAAATTAGAAGTAGACACCCCCTTCCCCTCCTCTCAAAAGAATTCGTGATGCTGCTGAGAGATAATTGACATTAATAGCCTCTTTCATATAGGATTACCAATATTTTGGATTTGTGGGAGATTTGGGGTGGGGGGTGGGGGGTGG